TCGCTACTTGCTTTAGATTGGAAATAATGAATTTTTGCACACGCTCTTTTCAGGCCAACTATTACCAAGTGGGCAAAAATCAGGATTTTGAGGCTCAACTGCCTTCTATGGACTGTGAAGGCTTCAAGTAGCGCTTGGTTTATGTTGAAAATTGTGATTTTTTCAAGGCTTAGGTTAAAACGCGTTTTTAGGCCCATCTTCCCTGCACAATTTGGACGAAATCTGCAAGCGCCAAAGGTGTCATGTCGGAACATAGCAACGGCCAGCCATCGTGCGTGTGAGTGAGTGAGACACCCGATGCAAACTACGTTCCTGACTGTCAAAATCAGTTTCATTTATTCGAGTCAAGTCAATTGGATTAGTGGCGGAATAAGCCGAAACGAAGCACGCACTTAAACAGGAGCCATGGATTTGCACGCTTTGATTGGTTGGTTCATTGGGCGGTCGCACTGTTTTGCGGCAAATTTTCCTGTCGATTTTTTCTTGCAAGTTTTACCCTCAAGTGTCTCGGATAAGCCGCAAAAAATGTTCAAGTTGCTGCTTGAACTGGCTCGAACGTGTCGAACTTTTCAAACACAGCGTGCACTTGATTGACAATGTTTAATTTGGTTTGGATTAGAGTTAGTTAATCAATCCTCGATTTTTCTGTTCAATTCAGGTTCTACTCAAAGATGCCATCCGTCCGGCCTGCGAGTCCGAGCAGGCGGCGCAGCAGCATCGCTCCAAGCTGGAACAGTGCTTCAACACGATCAGCGGCTGCTTGAGCTACCAATACAACGCGGCCTGGAGCCAAGTGCTGCATGTGATTGGCGTGATGTGCGAAGTGGGTGGAGCCAATTGCAGCGATCTGCTGGAGGAGACGTTGTGCAGTCTGGCCGAGCTGCGCGACTCGTACAAGTTCAGGTCGGTTCTTGCGTTTCGATTGGCTCTTTCCATCCCTGCTCCTGCTCACCCAGCCAATGGCAATAAAGCGGCGCATTCGTTTGCAGCTTCAACAGCGAAGTGGAGTACGCAATGGGCGCAGCCATTCGCTCGATGGGCCCCGAAAAGGTGCTGGCGGTGGTGCCGTTGCGACGAGAAAACGGCGAACTGAACATGGAACGCTCCTGGCTGCTTCCGGTGCTCAAAGAAAACATCAATGGGGCGAATCTGAGCTTCTTCAGGGATGGAATTCTGCCCCTGGCCAACTTCTGCCAGCAGAGGGCTGCCCAATTGGCCCAAGTGAATAACGGGATTGGGGCGCACAGCAGCGAGCTGCTGTACATGCAGCTCTGGAATTTGTTGCCGTGCTTCTGCAATCAGCCCGGCGATATACAGAGCGAGTTTAAAAGTGTGGCCAAGCTTTTGGGTGAGTCGTGGCGGTTTTGCTTCAACACGAGTGCGGGAAGAGTGGAAGGTTTTGGGGCGATTTGGAGGGAATTGGCAGGGTTTTTGCGCTGAAGGGGCTTCTACGGATTGCGAAAGTTTCAAGTTGCTACTTGCTTTAGGGGGAAAGTTGCGCATTTTTTAAGCGCGGGGCAATTGGGCGCAAACGTTCATTTTGTGCCCAATTTTCACCGAGTCGGCAAAAATCAGGTTTTTGTGCGATTT